ACTTTTTCTTTCTACTTGAGCCCTTGGTATCGGCTGCCTTTTTAATTAGGGCGATCACTGGCTGGATGTAAGGCTATCATTTTAAAGTTGCACCCCATCGGCTCTTTTGTCTCATTTTCCTTATTTACGGTCTTCTTTTGGATTGGGTACTTTTCGTAATTTCATCTTCTTTCATTGCTGTCATCATCACATCACCCACGACTCTTGGTTTTGCTTATTGTGATTGTGGAACACACATCTCTGAACACATCTCTGAGGTAGAGCCGACATCATACTTTATCACTGCTTCCATTCCACTCGAGCATATTACTGTGTGCATAGGATGAGGATCTCATAACGCAATAACTCCTTCCTTTGGGGAACGTACGCCCTGTAGTTTTTATACAGGTTATAAACCCCATCAAACATTGCTATTCCTTTTGTATTAATACATCAACTTTTGAAGGGTTTTTGAAAACAAGAACACATTTTTGAGTCAGAATTGACGCAAAGCAGTGGGGGAACATATTTATATGTTCCTGAGCCCTATTTCTCTGCTGTTTCCACCATCCAGCATTTTTTCCCTGCATCTGGGAATTCCTCTGACATATCTAGTATGTGGCCTCTGCTGGTAATAGCTTCTGTCAGCTTTGGTACGTAAAAAAAAAAAGCACCTAATTTCGCTTTCTTCTTGAAACACAGATACATAGATATGCGGGGGCTTCAACAAAGTCTGAGAATTTTCACTATCTTTTAACTCCATTTTCCATATTTTTTCCCAGCTCGTGTGTGTCAGCGCATGTGCGTTTGCACATGAAGGAACTTCAAAAAGTTCATGGAAAGCAGAGTTTCATGTATGTGTGTGTCCATACAGAGACAGTGGCCCTCACCTCCTGTCTTTTAAAGATGCTGCATCATTCTGGCTCGTGCTTTCCTCACGAGAAACCAGCTATCATTTTTGCTCATCCTTCGCATGATAAGACATCTTTTCTTTGTGATTGTTTTTACGATATTCTCGTATCACGTGTTTTAAGCAATTTGATTGTGATGTGTCTTGGTATAATTTTCTTCATGTGTCTACTTGTTGGCAATCTGGGATTTGTTAGTTTATGGTTTTCATCAACATTGGAAAGTGGACAGCCATTATTTTCTCAAATTATGTTCTTATGTCCTTTCTGTCCTCGTCATCTCTTGCAACCCCTTTAGGCAGGTCGACTGCAGGCATATTTACCTCGCCGATGCTGTTTGTCTTTGTCTTCTTCTTCTTCTTCTTCTTCTTCTTCTTCTTCTTCTTCTTCTTCTCCTTGTGGGTTTTATTCTGGGTAGTTTGTACTGCGATGCCATTAATGCGCTTTAATCTGTTAAACCTTCACACTGATTGTTTTATAAATCTAGCTTTGTTTACGTCTCTAGATGCAAAGGCGCTCACAGGAGGGAGGGCATGAGAAGCTGGGAAGCCTAGTCTTAGATGAAGTTCCTGCCGACCTACCCACTGTCTGAGTGCAGAGACTTGATCTGGAAGTGGTTCACGCGGGTCCTGATGTTGGCTGAGGTCAGGCTGCTTGTTCTCAGTAAGGCACTCTTTCAGGCCCAAAGGACAGCTGGGGGCAAGGAGGCGACTATGGAAGACACTCTTGCCTGCCCAGGGTAGCTGGTGACAGGCCGCTTCTCCGGCATGGAGTTTCCACTGTGCTGATGAAGCAGTGTGCGTGTGCTTCCAGACGTGGTGGGGTGCACCTGGAGCTGATCCACAAGGATACAACTCTGACCTCAGGCAGAACCGGGTCTGTACAGGTAGCTTGTACCTGGCTGCTGGGTGGGTGCTGACCACGCCTCTGGTCATCAGGAGGCTGTGAGGGATAAGGGAGGACTCACCCCTCTTGTCATCCTCACAAGTGTGAGTGCTTATGCTCCTCTTGAGCAAGCAGAGCTGAGGACAGCCGGACTGCATCAGGCCTGTCTGCTAACCCACTCTCCACTGTTGTCAGCGTCTTCTCCTTCCCAGTATTCCATTTCTTTCTCCATCCTTTCCTCTGAGGCGCAGGGCTCCAGATTCCTCGTTCATATCTGCTTCCTGTGGCGTCTTGGTTCCTTGTAAAGGATCGGTGTAGCACGTCTGCCTGGTCTCCTGTCTTGCCCGAAGTCTGACTGCCAATCAAAATTGCTTTGTTTCATTCTGGGGCACAGCGCAGGTACTTGGAAACACCTGGATCCTTTTGAGCAGGGGTCCTCAAACTTTTAAAACAGGGGGCCAGTTCACTGTCCCTCAGACTGTTGGAGGGCCAGACTATAGTTAAAAAAAACCCAAACCTATGAACAAATGCCTATGCACAGGGCACATATCTTATTTTGAAGTAAAAAAACCAAATAGCCAAAAACACCTGGAGGGCCGGATAAATGTCCTCGGCAGGACGCATGTGGCCTGCGGGCCGTAGTTTGAGGACCTCTGCTTTTGAGGCTCTTTTACCCTTTGTTAGTCAAGCCCAGAGCAGCATTTACTTAAGGACAGATTTTGCCTCTACCCAATGCCCCATGAATGATGTGAATTTCCAGTCCGAGTGTGGGGATCAGGAATAATAGTTGGTTCTGTATGATCACTGGTTACCTGTCCACTCTGGTTGGTGGGAACAGGAACACTCTTCTACCCTCTGCACGAGGCAGTGACTGTTCTCTGTGCTCTTCACGGGCAGGTCTTCTCAGGCCTTGGTAGTTCCTCACAAGCAGGTGCTGATCAGTACGCCGTTGAAGACTGGTGTGATAGTCTCTCTGCAGATGCTCTCTGCTCTACAGAACCCCACCTTCCCACTTCTAGTGACCTTGGCTTCTTGGTCTTCCATTTCCATCCTCACGCAAGCTGTCTACCTAACTCTTCCTGGGGGACCATTCTTCATACTGCAGTCTGGCAGGTCCCTCCAGGCAGTCCAATGAGGCAACAATAGGGTATAATGTGACCCTATTTTGTTGATTAAATAGACCCTTGTTTATTTCCCCTCCCTCCAGGACCACTGTGCTGTGCCACTGCCTGATGTCCCATGACTGAAGCCCTTGTTTTAGAGACTGTGATTGTTTTAAGTCGCTTTAGATGGGAGTGTAAACCCAGGCCTGATTGCTTCACCTTGGCTGGCTAGACTGGATACTGTGGTTCTGTTGATAAAACAGATAGCTAAGGGTGCCACCTGTTTCCCAAACCACTCTCCTTTAGCAATCTGAAATACTCCTTATTGCAATCTCTGTCCACACCAGGTGCAGTAGCTCTTGTGCAATGGCTGTTACAGCAGAGCTGCCTGCAAAAGAGAACTTTTCAGAAGACCATCCAATTCTGTACTCTGGCTTACATGATGACTGTGGAGACACCCGTACCCTCCGCGGCTTCATTTCTCATGACTTTCTCATTCGCAGGGACTGCCTCCCCTAGGATTTCCCCCTCTTCTCCCTCCTTTCTTCCCCCGCTCTATGTCAGGGACCAGTGATCTGTTCATGGGATTCATTTCACGGTGTTTGGGATAACGAGTTACCCTTCTCTAGCTGGCCTACATTAGGTATGAGGTTGGAGCTCAAAGGGCTTGGTGTGTGGAATAAAGACAGGGCCCATGACTTAAAGGAAATGAAAAATCTTTTTATCTGAACCACCACTCCTGCTGTCTTATATGGCTAACCACTCCGCATGTTTCAAAAGAGGAGAATTTACAAATAGAAATGGAAAACTGAAGTGACGGAATTGTTTTTCTTGCTGCTCTTCTGCTTCAATGAGTATTGATGGAGTGCTTCCCATAATTAAGGCCTGGCAGTCTTCCTTAGGAGACTGAGACCTGCCAATGACAGCCAATGGGTTTATCCTTTTGTGGAAGACTGACACAGATTGATGCATAGTGAAGACATGGATTGGCAGGGACTCTTTTAGACATCACAGGAAGATGTGACTACTGAGAGCTGGAGAGCTTAGGGAAGGCTCCGGGAAGAAATATGGAATTGAAGGTAAAGATACATGAGCAGAATTAGGGCCATGAGGGTTTGTGGCTTCTCTAGCCATAGCCCGAGAGGCACTGAAGGGATTCTGGTGGAGCATCATGGTTGAGAAGTTGCGCCCTATCTATGGGACAGTCCTGTGCCAGTCTAAGGCATTTGGACTGTGGGCAGCTATGGGTAGCTTTTGGTGGGATGCACACATATGAAGATGGATTTGGAATAGGCAGGATGAGGGTCAGTGGCAGAGACTGTATCTTAACTGTCTTTGAATTCCATAACCATGGTTCTGGCTTCAGGAGATCTCAGAGGTCTGAGGTTTTAGTTCATTACTTGACTGTATGTAAAAAGTGATACCCTTTTCTTTCTCAATCGCGGCTCCTCTGCACCACGGTGAGCCGTGCCAATGGCATGAACGCATATTTTAAAGACCCACTGTGTGCTGAGGTCTGAAGGTAGAAGAAACATTTGGAGGCAGACCCAAGCTTTGTGGGTTTCCTTTTGAATTCCTCCTTTTCCAGCTCATAGGAGAAGATACTAAGCCACCTTTACAGAACTGACACATGATTACTTTCAGTCCCTCCCTATCCCTAATAAATTCCGAATTGTCCTACAAATCTCCTAAAAACGACCCCACATCCCCAGCAGAGCATGGCAGATGGCAGAGATGGCACAGCGCACACACTGCAGGTTTAAGTCCTCTGTCTCTGACACACGCATGCGGCTGGTGGCGTGGGCACTTGCAGGTGGGTGTGGGGGCATGGGACACTTAGACCCACCGCCCTGGCACCTCCCGCAGCCGCGGGGCCCCGCGCCCAGGCCCCGCCCAGAGGCCCCACCCCCTCACCCAGAAGCACCACCCCCATCCAGGCGCCTCTCCAACCGCAGGGCTCGGCGGCCCGTCGTGTCACCGCCGCGCCGTTTGGGCATTTGCGTCATCAGGGCGCGACCTTGCAGCAGGCGCCGGCGGGCGGCGGAGCCTTGAAGTGGGAGCCGCCGCTGCAGCCGCAGGACGAGGCCGGCTGCGGAGCGAGCCGCCGGCGGCGCGGGCGCGGGCGCGGGCACGGGCGGCTGCTGGGCGCCGGCAGCGCCGGGACAGGTGCGTGCGTGGTCACCCTTCCCCGCAGGTCGTGGGCGCGTCTCCTAGTCGCCGGAGCTGTCCCTGTCCCCCTGTCCCCCCTCCGGAGCAATGCTCCCCACCCTCTCCCCGGTGCTGGAGTCGGGGGCCCGGGTTGGCCACTCTCCGGGGAGCTCCGGCTGGGGCGCCGATGCCCCTGGGGAGGAGGGCAGGCTTGGGGACTCAGTACCCTGAGCACCTCAAGGTGCCGGTGCCCCTCACCCCGGGTCCTCCGGGTTTGGGGCATAAGGCGGCAGGGGTGCTGGGAGAGGTGCTGGCACTGGGTGCAGTCCCACAACGACAGCCACCACGAGTTGGACTGGGCACTCGCTGGGTTTCTGACTCTTGTGGGAGGCGCCCGGTGTCTATGCAGACTTCCCAGCAACCGTGGAGGGAAAAAAAAAATCTATCCCATTCCCATTTTCCAGATGGAAAACCGGCATAAGAAGTTGCACAGCCGGCCTGCGGTGGCGGATTGGTCGGATCTCTCCCTGTCCCTTTCAGAACTCACCCTCGCTCACTGCAGCCCACGCTGCCTGGCTCCCCTGAGTTTTTAATCTTTTTTTTTTTTTTTTACTCCTTGACCTTGGGTAAACTCTGCGGGTAGAGGGGCGGAGCCAAGCGTGGACTTCCTATTGGTAGGAGTCTTTTTCTCCCGCCCCTCCTCCTCCATTCACTCTGGGCCGGGCTCTCCGCAGCAGCGGGCTCCCCCTGTCGTGGGGACGTTTTCCTGCACTGGAGACTGATGGGTGAGTGCTGACTGAGGTGTTCCTTCAGGATCTCGCAGAACTTTGGAGCCCGGTGCACTGCTTTGCAGTTTGTCACTCCCCCCCATCGCGCACGTAAGACTGTCAGTGGTTACTCAGGTGAAGTTGTCAAGGGGGGGTATTTCTGCTGCTTCTAACAGTCGCTGCTGGCAAATCTGTAAAGAATCCGAGTCAACCAGCCAGGGGACTCGTCATCTGGATGGGAACCTTTTGGAATTTCAAAAACATAACTGAAGATCAGAAGAGGATCGAGGGAAACTCAAAACAACAATTTGATCATCGAGGTTATGTTAGAAAGCTTTCTGAGTGTAGATTAATACCTGTTCTCTTTAGGGGGATTCACTATGAGGAAACACTTTCCCTTAGGAAAATAGAGGATTTCCTGAAAATGGTCCTAAGTTATCCCTGAAGATCGTATGCTTTTGCTTTGTAACTTTAACTGCTGCATTGAAAGTATAGCGTTTCTCTGAAACAATGTCATTTTCTATGCCGATTGACAGCTTAATTCCGTTTGAGAGGGAAACATTAGAGGTGCCTGAATTGCCTTGACTCATTTTGCACTGAAGCACGCGTAACGCAAAGCTGCTGATAGAGACTCTAAAAACGATCAGCTTTTGTGCCACCTATGTGATGTGTGTTCATTTCAGGAAACATGCCCTCATTTCCCGTGGAACCATCCAGCTCGTAGCACAAATGGAAAAAATTCTTCAACATTGGCCCCAAATAAAACATTACTTACAGTTGCAATCTCTGGGGCAGTGCGGACGACTAACAATCTTGACTGCTAGCCAAAAGGCTGTAGGTTCCAGTCCATTCAGAAGTGCCTCAGGAGAAAGGCTTGGCGATCTCCTTCCCCCAAGCCAGCCATTGTCAACCCTATGGGGCTCAGCTCCATTCTGACGCCATGAGTTGGAATCAGCTCAAAGGCACCTGGTTTTTGCACTGGTGCCCTTGCAAATGGCTATCAATAGCTATTTTGTTTGTTTCATCTATGTTCTGGGAGCCGAAGGCTACAAATAGCTACTTAGTTTTCTATCTGGTTCAGGGCAATGTAAGTACATCAAAGCCAGTGTTTACACTTGGACTCCATATTGTAGAAGTCCATTTAATCACCTCCTGTGGAATAAAATGATGTAGAGGTTAGAAAGCCAAGGTTTATCCCACTGGGTGACACCATTAATTTCAGGGGTGCACTTTTTTTTTTTTTTGTAGCACATGATTTGGGAGTTACAGCTTGTGACATGGATGAATCTGCACTGACTCTTGGGGCGATCGATGTTTCTTACCTGCCAAATTCATCCGAGTACAGTGTCGGTCGGTGTAAGCACGTAAGCGAGGAATGGGTAAGTTGAGTGTAAAGTGTTAAAAGCTTGGATAGATGTTAATTTAAATGTTGCTTATGGAGGTACAGCATCGTGTCAGAGTTTAGGAGCTATAGAACGCTTAGGCATACCATCCCGTTTTAAAAATTCTTCTGTTATGTGGGCAGAGTTCCAAAAAACCTCACTGCATCAAGTCAATTCTGACTCATAGGGACCCTAGAGGGTAGAGTCGAACTGCCCCTTTGGGTTTCTGAGGCTATGAATCTCCACTGGAGCAGAGAGCCTCATCTGTCTCCCACGGAGCGGTTGGTAGTTTCGAACTACCGGTCTTATAGTTTGCAGCCCATCGAGTAATGCACTGTGCCAGCATGGAAACGGTAGGCAATTTAAGTATGGTGCTTGTGTTAGAAAGCAAGACACTATTGCTTATGGCACTGGGGGAGGGGTAAAACCAAAACAACCACCCAGAATGTTACTAGTAATTGTTTCTAATGGTTGTTGTCTGATGCCCAGGGACCCTGAGCTTCACAGGATGAAGCACAGCCTCAGAGTTGTCCCTAAGTTGGAGCCCATCATTGCAGCCACTGTGTCCATCCGTCGTGCTGCCCTTAGGTTGTCTGATGATTAGGCACCCCCCCACCCCCACCCGCCCTTTATCTCTCTCAGTATCTAGTTTTCTTAAGGTTTTTCTTTCTTTTAAACAAACATGGATTTTGTAATGGAAATAAATGTTATTTCAGATCGCAAGTCGTAAAAGCATATAAAAAGGCCAATGAATTAAAAGTAATTTTGAAAGAAGTAAATACAAAGTAGTCAATTGTAAAAATCGAACAAAATTCCAGTCAATAGGAAAAAGAGTACATAACATGTTGGAATCCACTGCAAAAAACAGGCATGTGGTGGTATTGTCTCCCCTGTGCCAGGATAATGAAAGAGCAGCTTCAAAAATTCTTGGGGAAAAAAATGAATTAAAGGAGACCTTAATTTCTCTAGGAACATTTTGAAGCCCCCTCACCTGGGACATGCTTTAACCATTAGAGACGTTCTGCTTGGTCTAAAAAAACCAAGATGACATGGTTGTTGCCGTGGCTTTTGCCGTGGCTTGTGCTTGAGCAGCGTGTCTCAGTGGGGTCTGAGCCGCCGAGGAGCAGAAAGTTGAGAGAAAGATCTAGAGCAGGTCTGACTCGAAGTGGGCAGTGGCAGCTAGCATTTCATTCCAGCCTGAAGCTTCCCTGGTGAGCTCAAGGCATGTTCTTGGTATTTATATTCCCCTGGGTTTTCATCTAAAGTGAACTATTTTAGGCCGCTCAGGACATCAGAGCTTGGTAGTTCCATCATGGGGACCTAGCAGGGAGGAAGGATGACTCTTAGCTAAGGTGACCAGACGTCCCACTTTTGGCAGGACAGTCCCGATTTTTAACAATTTTTCCCGTGTCTCGCGGCATTTTAAAAAAGTCCCGATTTTTGGAAAGCATGCACGACAAGCTAGGGTATATGGTTTTCGGCTGCCATGTGGCGATTTCGCCAGGATATGAGTTTTATCAATGGTGTCCCACTTTATCAATGTTAAAATCTGGGCACCTTACTCTTAGCACAAGGAGTTAGTCATCCTGCTACAGTCCGGGGGGTGTAGTGGCTGAGAGATGGAGTGGTTCAAACCCACCCGTCACTCTGTGGTAGAAAGAGGAGATTGTCTGCTCTGTAGAGATTTAAAGTTTTGGAAACCCACAGGGCAATTCTACTCAGTCCTATTGGGTTGCTATGCATCAGGGTCCACTTGATAACAGTGGGGTTGGTTTGGGGTGACCACAAGTCTGTGTGACTTTTACAATACTTGTTAAAGCTTTGAGTGCTGTTTTGAATGTGCAGTTGTTATGACCAGGTCACACCTTTCTTAAAGGGGGAAGTGGCTACATGCTGGGCTGCTAACCACAAGGTCAGCTGTTCAAAATCACCCGTGTTCCTTGGGAGAAAGATGAGGCTTTCGATTCCCGTACAGATTTGCAGTCTCACAACGCCCCAGGGGCAGTTAGACCCTGTCCTGTAGGGTTGGTATGAGTTACAACGGACTCGGTGGCAGTGATAGATGACGGGGTCCCTTTCTTAAGCCCCAGATCCACTGCCATTGAGTCAGTGCTGACTCAGCCACCCTCTCTAGGGTTCCTGTGGTCGTGGCTCTTCATGGGAGCAGATAACCACGTCTTTCCCCTGGGAGTGGATCCCGACCTTGTGGTGACCAGTCCAGCACCTAGGTCTCCGTGTCCCCATTAGGCACTCATGTTTTGGCTGAAGTGCCAGGCTCTGTTCTAAGTGGCGAGTCTCCTGAATGACACCACCAGTTATCCAGATGCCACCCAGAGAACGCCGATGTAGCATGCTCCCCCCGCCCTGACACATCTTTGTCTCCATGCTCAACTGTATGCTTGCCGCCGAGACCCTTTTTATTTTCTCTTCTTTTTTGAAAAATTAGGGTGAGTGTAGTTTCAGACCCACCGTCTTCAGATCTGCAACTTTGAAATGGAAGGAAAGCTTCATGGGGCGGAAGCGGCCCTTCGTCGGCCGTTGCTGCTACGCCTGCACTCCGCAGAGCTGGGTAAGGATGCTGTGGCTTATGACTCGCGCCAGCCACGGGCTCCGCGCGGCCGTCCTTCAGACTCTGCACCTTTGTGATTGCGCCCCTCAAGGGACTTACTTCGTGTTTAGAAGTGAGGCCTCTTAGAACCCACATCCTGCAAGTCAAGATGCTCTCTTTCTGCTTCCCTCCGTTCGCTGATTCAGTCGCTATTAGGTCCTGGAGCTGATGCGAGGGACGAGGCTGGCCCGTTTAGCTCTGGTGTAGCTCTGGGGGACAGTGGATCATACGCTTAGTTCCCTTCCCCAGAGCTGGCGGGGACCTGCCAGGTAACTTCCAGAAGTGGGACAGCGTTAGCACTTCCCATCAGGATCCCAGCAGGACGGCGAGCAACAACTCACTAGACGGCAGAGCGTGGGAGGCTGCAGCACGGCTTTGCTCTTCCTGCTCCGGAATTCCCTTCCTGGGGGGTGTCGGCTGACTGTGTGGTAGCAAAGGCTGGCCACTGAAATGTTAGGGGAAGGTTTGCTGCAGAGAGAGAGAGAGAGAGAGAGAGAGAGAGAGAGAGAGAGAGAGAATGTGTTGTGTATGTGACTTGTATTTTGGTCAAACAAACAAACATAAAAGACAAGCCATGCCAGCCCTTCCATGTATAAGCTTTGAGAAGCATGGACTAAAAGCCAAGTGTGCTGCTGCTGAGGGTGGTCGAGGAGAGGAATGAGTTCAGAGTCCTGTCCCAAGGTTCACCTGAACTATACAAAGGTTACCTGTGATCTGTAAGAACAGCTAGTGGGTCTCCCTGGATTTTTCTCCTCAGGCTTGGCTGGGCAGTGGGCAGACTCTTCATCTGGTATAAAGGGATTTACCTACATGGGAAAGATTTGTCCAGAACCCAAGCAGTCCATGTTGAATGGCCAGCTCCGCCCAAGAACGCCTTGACAAATATAATCATGCCTTCTTGTGAGACATCGGTTGCATTCAAGGCTTACGGACATTTTTAGTCTAGGAGCAAGGCCAGTTCAGATGAAAGGACAATGGAAATACGGACTTCAATAGAAGGTCATGTGACTTTTCATTGTAGACCTGACCTTTCACTGAGTTCTAATTTTGAAGGGTTTAAAATACCCCCCAAAAGGCTGCATCAACTCTAAAGGGTTCTTAAATCGAAAGAGAGAAGGCGAGATTATTGGTGGTGGTTCGGAGTGAAGTGGGTGGTTAGTAGAATAGATAACTGAGTTTGGCCTGTCAGCCCTGAGAAAGTAGGATTTGATCTTAAATTTCTTCAATGGCTGTTCATAGAAAAGAGTTTGTTCCAGAAAATATTCTAATTATTAACTTAAAAATGGGGAAAAAAATAGCTTCAAGTGTATGGAAATCCTAGACAAAACAAATGGGAATAGTGATTTTTTAAATATTTTGTTGCCCTTGCTTTGAAAGCCTATGTTTTACTTCTTTAAAGAGAGTTCCTTAAGTAATTTTACACTTTTTATTGAGGGCACATGAGGCTGTCTCAGCATTGGCCTGTGGCCCTCTGAGCCTGCTGCCCACCTGGAAAGCTGTGGGCTTTCTCTTTCAGCAGCGCTCTCAGATTCTCGTTCAAGGTTACAGGGAGAGAGGGTGACCTTTAGCCAGACATTTCCTCCTGAAGTGGGCAGTCATTTTAGGGAGCAGAGAGCATATCTTTGGAGAAGCCGTGGGCGTAAAGCCCAAACACTGGCCAGCCCCGTAATCTTCTGTGTCAGGATCGTTGGGGGAGTGATAATCTCATGATACATCTATGGTTTTTAGCGTAGTACCTGCTATTGTGGGAACGCTAGCCTCCAACATTCCCATCACGGACGTAGAGCTCCCTGTCAGTTCTACTCTTCCAAGCTTGGGCAAAGGGCAAGAAGGGGAAATGCACTATCTCTCTTGTAAAGGGTTTTAGGATTCATTTTGATTTGTGACTTTTATGAAAGGCTAAACAGTACTTTTAAATTGAAAACACAACAGCACACTAAGTTTTTTCCCCTGAATCACTTAGGTTGGTGAAGCACCATTGAATTTTGTGTTGTGTATTTTCAAAGTCATTGAAGAACTGGTAATGCTAGCTTTTTGCCACTAATTCAGCGGTATGCTTCCATCTGGTTTTTTTGTTTTTGTTTTGGTTTTGTGTAGGAGAAATTCTTCAACCCCAGCATCCCGGCGTTGGGTCTGCGGAATGTTATCTATATCAATGAGACTCACACGAGGTAAAAAGGCATTTCTATACTTTAATCTGTCTCAAAGGACATACTGCATGATAGACCATCCACACACTGGGAGATACATTTCCTTTATTTCTTAAAAGTTACAAGGATAGGAACTGTTGGCTCGAGGCTCTGTATGAAAGTTATAGGCAACAGGAGCCGCCTAAGGGCCCGATGACTGTTATCATGCTACACTTATTTCATACAGACGTTCCTAACAAGGTAGCTTTTGCCCGCAGTTTGAATTTACTCACACATCGGTTTTGCATCTGATATATATGCCAAAATGTGGTAAAGATTTGTAGGGGAAGAGAAGTGGGCTTGAATGTCTTATGACCTACAAATGGTTGTCTTACGCTTAAAGAAATGTATAAGTGATGTATGTCGGCCAAGTCTACATACAGGGTGTTAGAAAATGTTTTCTCCTCTCGAGCACATGCGCCTTCACTTATAACTTCCTCAAGGAGCCCTGGTAGTGTAATGCTTACGCATTGGGCTGCTAACCACAAGATCAGTGGTTTGCAACCCTCAGCTGCTCCGCAGGAGAAAAATGGGGCTTTCTACAGGCTTGAAAACCCACAGGGGCAGTTCTACCCCTTCCTGTAGAGTCACTATGACTCAGCATTCAACTAAATAGCAGTGAGTGAAGTTTTTGAAGGTTTTCTAGGAATTCTTCCTTCTACCTTCCCTGTTCACGGGGACCAGGGCAGTTGGCCCCAGAGTGAATTGAGAACAGGCCTAAGAAGGAGCATAGGGAGGCTGTGTGCAGTCTCTGTGGCAAGACAACCGACTGGTAGTCTAGTCCCTTTGTGTCTGAGAGATGTTTGCAGGAGGTAATGAGTAGGCTAAAGTGATGAAATTCTCTGGAAAAAATGTACCCAAGAAATGGAATACTTAAATTGAAGGCCTTTCTGATGTCGCCTCTTGGCTTTCCGGGGATTCTGCTGCTGCTTGGAGGTGCCATTGGGTCCGTTTAGACTCAGGATCCCATATTACAGAGCAGAGCTGCCCCCAGGGTGGGCTTAACTCTTCCCTGGAGCGGATCTGCAGGCCATTTCTTCATGGAGGCCACCCAGCACCCTTTCTGTGCTCAGCCAGGCACGTCATCATGTGTACCAGCACCCCTCTTGGTTGTGATGATAGAGGGTGTGGATCAGTGTTATGATACCTGCACGCATAACATGAGTTAACTGGCTTTGGTTTTTATCCAACCGATAAATACACTTTCCCTCCCTTTCCAGCGTACCTTTGTCTCACTTGTTCACTTTCTCCTTGAAGTTTGAGACTGAAAGAGGAGACTGGCTCAGGGATTCTCCCCGCCACCCTCCTCGTTCTGGGGTGATATGAGTACAATGCTCAGAAAAGGGGTCCTAGAAAATGCCTTCTTTTTTATGGAAATAGACATTTTACATATAAAGCCAGAGGGTTCCTTTGTTGCCTCCCTTGGAAAAAGAGCACACGCTACCTTGATCAGGCAGCATGAACCTACCGTGCTGGTGAGCGGGCTACACAAGGCAAAACCTAGACATTTATACAAATGTACACAAACTCTCTCTCTCTCTCTCTCTCTCTCTCTTTCTTTCTCTCTCTCTCTCTCTCACACACACACACACCCCTTTAGTCTTCCATTGCAAAGGGATTCTATAGACAGCTTGGCCTTCGTACATTCTTTTGTTCATTCTGAGCATAGAATGAAGTGCCGACGGTATGCGAGAGTAACAGGAAGGAGAAACAAAAGAACAAGCGGTTCTGCCTCAAATCCCTTCTCCTCCAGTGAGGGCCCTTATATCTTTTCTGAATCAGTGCCTTTTTCTTAGCAGGTGTTGGTCAAAGAATGAGAGTGAAGCATCTCATGATTATCCCTCGGGGTTTCAAATGATTACAAGATGAGGGATGGCAGCACTCTCATGCCTATTTTGAGATCTACCCCCGTATCCTCATCTAGATTTCTCAAGACACCACATACCTGCTGTCACAAGGGAATAGGTATTGTCCCTGAACGGTGTTGAATGTTTTTCAAAATTGGAAAAAAATGTCAGAAAGATTTCCTGGAGCCAGGTGCTAGAGAGCCAGACCTGCGGCTAGTCCTGGGCCTGTCTCCCAGCTGATCAAGAATCTGGGAGACCGTGATGAGTTTTTCATAAGGGAAAAATCAGGCCTTCATGCTAGGGAAAAAACCCAAACCAAAAACCAAGCTCACTGCCACTGAGTTGCGATGGACTCATAACGACCCTACAGGACAGTGGGGAACTGGCCCTGGGGGTTTCTGAGACTGAAACTCTACAGAGCAGAAAGCCTCATCTTTCTCCCTAGGAGTGGCTAGTAGTTCCGATCTGCTGACCCTGTGGTCAGCAGCCCAAGGGGTAACCCCTCAGCCACCAGGACTTGCCGTGCTAGGACAAGATTTCTGTACACACGCTACCTGCCTTTGTCATGGTGTTAACAAAGCCAGCGCACTGTCTTCCTTGTGTTTTTACATTAGGGCGGTTATTTGCCAAACACCCCTATTCACGTGTGAAAACACCCATCTCAGCTGTGAATTCCGTGCACGTGGAGTGAAACTGTGGGAGCAGTGAGGGGTTGGCTGCTGCAGGACCCCAACCCTCAGGAAGGGGGGGAGGGGTCAGGCTTCGCTCCTGTAGAGGGAAAGCCTGGTGTTAGTGCACAGCTTTAGTGCACAGGGTGCTGTGGGTGACCCGACAGCGCTTCTTTCCTGAGCCGATGTCACTTTGCAGGCACCGAGGATGGCTTGCGAGACGTCTTTCTTACGTGCTTTTTGTCCAGGAGCGAGACGTCCATAAGGGCATGTTCGCCACCAACGTGGCGGAGAATGTCCTGAACAGCAGCAGGTAAGGGTGGGGATGCTGTCGTACAGGGCAGGTGGCGGGGCATGGGTGGTGGGCGTAGGCGGAGGGGAGGATCCTTTTGTTAATTTCTCATTTCTCTGGGCCTCTGGCTCTAGTTGGTTTCTGTTTTCTAGCAGGGGAGGAAGCAGAGCCCGTGGCTCTGGTGAACAGGCAGGGGGAGCGGCTGTCTTGTTTCCTTGGCTAACAAAGGAGTACGTTTCTAAGACAGGAAGCTCCAAGGTGCACCAATTTCCAGGGTTCTTTGTTCCATTTTCTGTAACAGAACGGCTTGGCCTGAAATAAATGCTACTCCAGCGATGGCCTTGGGGTGTTACCCAGGCCCTGTGAGTTTGTCTTTTTGTCTATTGACACAGTACCTGGCAGTGTGGAGTTTTGCTGGACTTCAGAGTCTATAAAATCTGAAGCCAACAGAAGGGGAAGCACGTTATTTGACATTCCCTGGGATTTTTATAGTTGCTTTTTTCTTCAGTATGTTTCTTTCTATCCAGATAGGTTGCCGAGTAGCCGACCTCACCAGGGTTGGTGCTTTCTTTTTGACACCAGATGGAAGGTTTACAAAAGTGGACCAAACCTTCCCATTTACCTCACGAGGAGCCCTGGTGGGTTATGCGTTGGCCTGCTCACCACAAAGTCAGCAGTTTGAAACCCCTAGTCAGTCTGAGAGAGAAAGATGAGGCTTTCACTCCCGTTAGGAGATAGTCTTGGAAACCCACTGGGGCAGTTCTACCCTCTCGGATGGGGTTGCTACGAGTCAGCATCAAACTGTTGGCAGTGAGTTCGTTTTTAACCTCGCAACTTATTCGTATATGCCCAGTTTGAGTTGGATCTCACCTGGAAAACTACGCCAGTGGTTCTCAACCTTCCTAGTGCCGCAACCCTTTAATATAGGTCCTCATTTTGTGGTGAACCCCCTCCCCCAAAACAATAAAATTATTTTTGTTGCTACTTCATCATTGTCATTTTGCTACTGTGATGAAGTGGGTGACTCCTGTGGGAGCAGCCAGGCTCATCTCTCTGTCTGGACACACCAGGTAGTTCCGAATCACCAACCTTTCAGTTAGCAGGCCAGTGTTTAACCCGCTGTGCCACCAAGGCTCCTTGCTTGAAGTCAGATCCTTCTTTTTCTCAAATCCCTCACGGCCTGGGTCCCTCATGCCTAGCTCTCTCCCAGGTCATTTGAGTTACCTTCTGAAGTCGGCCTCCCGGATTCCTCAGGGATTCATTGATCTAGGAGTAGGAGATCCTTAATATTTACTAGATGCCCAGAAAAGGCACTTCCCCCCCCAAGCTCATTCTCTCCTGCCACCGCAAACGAGCGGGAAGACGCTTCTTGTTTTATGGCCGGTGGCTGCGGTTTGGGTGCTGCTGAGTGCAGAGGGCAACCCCGAGCTCGTGAGTCGTCTCTCTTTTCCAAACCAGAGTCCAAGCGGCGATCGCAGAGGTGGCTGCCGAGTTAAACCCCGGCGGCTCGGCTCAGCAGCAGTCGAAAGCCATCAGTAAGGTGAAGAAGAGAGCCAAGAAGATCCTTCAGGAAATGGTGGCCACCGTCTCACCAGCAATGATCAGGTAGTCAACGGCAAGGGGACCTGCTCTCCACAAGCGCCATCTATCCCGAGCGAGTGGGACCGAAGCCTCGGCCCTTCCTTTCCTATCACAGTGGCCTTCACCCAACAGAGGTTTCAGCGAAATCCAATGTCAAAGGCTGCCTCCCCTTCACATCCGTGTTCAGGTTTCGGGAAGTAGCGAGCGCTGTGGTGGCTTTGGCTGGTGGCTCCCCTTCTGCCCATCAGTGAGGGCAGCGTTGTGTCCCTACAGCTTTCTGCTCTCAGAGGAGCAGGGAGCCCCACACCCTGGGGGTCGAGGACTTGTTCTGCGACCTAGCCATCCACTCGCTCTTTGGCTTCCGAGCTACTCGAGCAAAATGTAAAGATTTTAATCTCAAGTAAGAAATGTCTATAAATGGGATCTATGTAAATTCAGCTTTTTAATACCACAATCCAGACGTTAAAAAACTCGCTCACACATGCTCAGTCCCATAAAGAGCCTCTTAGAGTCCAGAAACGTATGTCACTCATACCCGCGCACGTGACAACAAACCATGTCCTTTCTTGCAGACTGACGGGGTGGGTGCTGCTGAAACTGTTCAACAGCTTCTTTTGGAACATTCAGATCCACAAGGGGCAGCTCGAGATGGTCAAAGCTGCAACTGAGGCAAGGATTTCTGGGACCCTCTCCCTCCTTTTCCCTCGAGGTTTACAAGGGTCTTGTGGTTCTGAGGGAAATGGGATGTCCTGAACTGTGGTGCATTTCAAGCCATTTGGAAGGTTGTCCCCACCTGTGGTAACGGAAGCCGTTGTGTATTGGGGAGGAGGAATTATCAGCTCTGTGCAGGATTCCTTTTAAGTTGATTGGCAGCAGCCTTGCAAGTCAGGTAGAAGCATCCTTGTTCCGTAGATGAGAAAATGGAAGCTCCAGTCTCTAAAGAAATGGTCCCAGGTCACAACAGACACGTGACTTTTGGTCTGACCCCCACACCTCCGTGCTCATCCCTTGACTCCTCCCTCTCCTGGCTTGTCTTCTCTTTTGCTTCAGCTTTCAGCGGAGTCGTTTCTAAATTTAGGGACATTCATATTACTAACAAGGAGCTCTGCTGGCATACTGGTTACGTGTTGGGCTGCTAAGCTCAAGGCCAGCATTTCAAAACCACCAACCGCTTTGTGAGAGAAAGATGAGGCTTTCGACTCCCTTAAAGCATTACAGCCTCCATTCTACCTTGTCTTCTAGTGCCACTCTGAGTCAGAATCAACTCGATGCCATTGAGCTAGTACAGGGAAATGTTTTTGAAGGCGTCACTAGCCAGTGTCTGAGTGATAGCAGTAATAGCCAGCTGTGATATCTGATTAGTTTCTGTGTTTGCATTGTGACCTTGGTGTTTTCCCCTCTGCTAGATGAACCTGCCGCTTATATTCCTGCCGGTCCATAGGTCCCACATCGACTACCTGCTGCTCACCTTCACACTCTTCTGCCATAACATCAAAGCCCCATACATCGCCTCGGGCAATAATCTCAACATTCCCATCTTCAGGTAAGGCCAGTTCATTTTTAAATCAAAGATAGGAGAAAGATTGTGTTTTGAATTTTTGCTATCATGGGGTTTCAAAAAGTCCATGGAAAAATGGAAGGAAAAGATCATGGACAATTTCCACATGCTTTCTGATGCTCCCTCTGATACATGCTATTGTCAAGATGGCATAAGTCTCAGCCCCGCACCCTACTTTTATATTATAATAGTAATGTATGTTTATTGTGAAAAAACACCACACAAAACAATCCGAACATTATCATCGTTACTTCTACATTTTGTAGGAGATACATGGTGAATTGTGAACCCATGCACTTTATAGGTAATCTTTATCAACTGGACGGAAGTCCACGAGACAAGATAGCAAATTGTTGTGCTGGGTTAAAACGTGGGGCGGTGGAGTTGGGATTGATGACGGTGTCACGTCAGAATTCACTTACACTCAGATGGTAGCTCACCATTCAATAGTGTTAGAAACATGTAATGAATACAATAGAACGTGCCCTTGTTTTTTAGGACACGTGTGCATTCCTGTTACAGCGAAGAGTATGCACGAGGATTCGAGAGCACAGTGTGGTCGGGAACTGGCTGCTGATTAGTCAGGGTGGAATGTAGGATCCATGAGGAAGGGCCAGCCAGAGGCAGGAGGTGGGCACTGCATAGTGAGTGGGAGTTAATTCACAGTAGGAGGTCTCACCTTGGGTTGAGTATCTCAGGGAAGGTCCTGGAGTCTGACCTTGGGAGCATGTCACCAGGTCATTCTGTCTTAGAAGGAGTTTGATCAATTTTGATCAATATTGATCAAATTTGATCAATATTATGAATTAAGAATGGTAAAGGCTTGCATTGAAGCCCCGGTAGTGATCCTGGAGCAGAAGGTGGAAACTGGAAAAGTTCTTAGTAAGACGAATTTGCTCTGGTGACATAGTGGTTACGCCTTGGGCTGCTCAGCGCAGGGTCAGCAGTTTGAATCCACCAGCCGCTGTGAAGGAGAGTGTCTAAGCCGTGGCCAGCTGACATTTCAGGCAAACAAACTCCTTAGGAATTGGAGCAGACTGTGGGGCTTCACTCGATGCAGTGACACGCCGCCGAGGGTCAGGGAATAATGCTGATGGCAGAACCACCCCTAATACAGGAAAGGACAAATGGCTCAGTTCTAGCCAGTGGTCCAAACACCACTCCTGGTCTACCACCACCCTGCCAAACGTCTTACAGCACCTTGGGATCGTACTGCTCTGTTTACATTTTTCCTCGCAAATTATTAATCCATGCCTTCTTGAACCTACAGTACCTTGATCCATAAGCTTGGGGGCTTTTTCATCCGACGGAGGCTAGATGAAACCCTGGATGGACAGAAAGACGTTCTCTATAGAGCGCTGCTCCACGGGGTACGTACACTCTCATTGACCTCATGGGCCATTGCGTCCGCTCTCACAGCGGAAGGAGGAAAAGGGACGAGAGCGAGATGAGATGTAGAAACAACCTTGTTACCTGAGCGCTTCAAGTGCTTATTGCTCAGCAGCGGGTTTGAGCACTCGGCTATGTCTGTCACCGAAAGGCAGCCCGGAAGGAGCGGCCTTGTTCACTGTACAAGTGACGCGCTCTCAGGGTGCTGTTTGGGGTGGTCGGGGTTAGGAGTTGCCCTTGCCGAGGGCCTTCTGAAGCAGGTGGGCGGAGCTCCATGGCCTGCCGTCCCCTCTGCGTTCCAGCACATCGTGGAACTCCTGCGGCAGCAGCAGTTCTTGGAGATCTTCCTGGAAGGGACGCGCTCCCGAAGTGGCAAAACCTCCTGTGCCCGGGCGGGCCTCTTGTCAGTGGTGGTGGACACCCTGTCTACCAATACCATCCCAGACATCCTGGTCATACCTGTTGGCATCTCCTACGACCGCATTATTGAAGGACACTACAACGGCGAACAACTGGTAAGAGGCCGGGCTGCACTTTTAGATCGGTGCTGTCAGCGTTCACGCAGCTGCAGATTTGGGTTCCTCCTGGGTTTACGGAGTTAGGGTGACCTCAGTAGGCGGCTCTCATAGGTCAACCTGACTGATGGGTGAGTGGTGCTTTCCTGCCCTTAAGGAGACTCCCAAACTGAAAACCAAGCCCCCTGCCCCCCAGTCGATTCTTACACACAGCAACCCTACACAACAGGACAGGGCTTCCCCATGGGGGTTTTCAACGTGTACATCTGTATGGAAGCAGACAGCCACATCTTTCGCCCTCCCTCAATGAGGAGCTGAGTGCTTAACCCCTGCATCACTGAGGCCCCCTGCTGGGGGAAGGACATGACTTGATTTATCAGTACTGGCCTGGGTCCTGGGCTCAGGAGATGGATGCGCACCGGCCACTGTGCTGCCCTCTCCATAGTGGAGCGTTATGGGGTTTTGCTTTCTCAGGACTGCTATGGAAGAGGCCCTGGTTGGGGAGAGGGGCGGGGTGAGTGGCATGTAGCCAAGCACTGGACTGCCACCCACAGTGTGGTGGTTCAAATCCACCAGTCGCTCCTTGGCTGTGTGGGGTCCTGTGAGTCGGAATCAGCTGCGGGGCAGTGGGACTGCTCCGGTGCTGTTTTGCAGTTAGGCCTGAAGCTCTGGTGGGATCCTGTCAGCAAAGCAACCTGAGATTGATGTGAGGAGGGTTGGTTCTTTTTATAATAAATATTGGTTGAACTGTAATCGGTATGGAAGCGTGCAGAAATCATAAGTGGGTAGCCTGACTTTTCAGGGTGAACATCTATCTCTCTGGAAGTTTCCCCCACCTCAAGGTGCAGTGTCACCGGGACCCTCCTTTGAACCATCACCATCCCCACAAGGGCCCCACACTAGCCTTATGTTAAACTCCATAGGCTAATTCTGTTCATTTGTTACCTCTACTGAAATGGAATAGGAGCCTCTGTGGCATGGTGCATTTAACCTTGGGCTGCTAACCACGAGGCCAGGGGTTCAAACCCACCAGCCCTTCTGTAGGAGAATTATCTGCTTCTGTAGCCTTGTTTACTTATTGGGTTGCTCACTGGGAAGCCAGCAGTTCAAAAGCACCACCAGCTACCTCTGGAGAAAGATGAGGCTTTCTCCTCATAAAGAGTCATTTTCTTGGAAACTCCCAGGGGCAGTTCGACCCTGTCCTATAGGGTTGCTACCATCGACTCGATGGCAGTGAGTTTTTGGTGTGATGAAGTGTGCAAAGTCTGGTAACCTTAAGGACCAGTTCTGCTCTGCCCTACAGGGTTACCGTGAGTCAGAATCCACTCGATGGTCATGGTGGAGAGAAACAGAATAATGCAGTTTGTTGTGTGTGTGTGTGTGTGTGTGTGTGTGTGTGTGTGTGTGTATGCACGCCCGGCTGTGTGTGTGTGTGTGTGTGTGCATGCACGCCCAGCTGGCTTTTTTTGCTCATGAGATTCCTCAATACTGTTGTACATGGCTGGGGTTCCTTTCTTTTGCACAGCCGCACAGAATCCCAGTGTATAAAGAAGCCACGATGTATCCATCCCGCTGTCCCCATGAGTCGGTATTGACGCAATGGCAGTGGGTTTAGTTTTTGGTACTGCTGAGAAAAAAATTTATTTGCTTCCAGTTTGGGCAACGGTCGTTCTTCCCATGTGTCTGGATGACCCGGCGAATGCATGTTGGGCGTGCTCCTAGGTGTGGAAGGGGTGGGTCAGAAAGTGTATACGTGTTCACCTTAGTAAACACTGCCAAACTATTGTCTCAATGGTTGTACCAGTTTCCCTCTCCCACCCACTAGCGGCACGATAGTGCAGGAGAGATTTAGATTCCTCCTTATTTAGGGCAGGAGGCTTGGGCCAGACATTTATTAGATGTATTACCCAAACAAGGACACTTGGAAATTGGTCGCCCTATGAACTACGGGATAAGGCTGGCTTCTCAGCTGTATCTCTGTCAGGAGACTTGCACATGCCTCTTTGGGTTGGAGGCATCTCTCCCCATGGTATACTGTGCTCACCCTGACTGTGTCCTGGGAATTCAGATCCTAGTCCTTGTGTCCAGCGTAAGGCTGCCATTGTGTCCCTTACATATCAAGTCTTCAATACATGATCATTCACGGAGGGACCAACTCAGAAGTCACTGTGCTGTTCACTTGCCTATTGACAGGCGCTTGGACTCTGGTGTTGATCAGACCTCAGAAGTGGCTTCTTCGACAACATTTGATTTTGATCTGACAAGCAGGTCAGGGCATTTGAGCCTTCCTTAATTTGCCACTGCAATTTTTCTCAGTGATGGGAACATCCCCCTGAAAGGAATGATTGTGAAATGCTGTGCTCTACTTTGACCGAACTCCTTTGATGGCATAGCTGCATGTTTTAGTATCTTTAGCATCTTCTCATGCGAAACATTTTCTGGCAAGTCTCAGTTTACGAATCCTCCCCTCCCCACCCCCTTAATCTTGCCTTTCTCAAGGTGAACCTTTAATTTCTAGAACAAAAAATTCTTTGCAATAAAGCACATCTGTGTGTGCGTCTGCGCAAACTTGCTGTCTCAGCATGCTGATCTTTCGACATTGGGTCTAGGGCAAGCCTAAGAAGAATGAGAGCCTCTGGAGCGTCGCCCGGGGCGTGATCCGAATGTTACGGAAAAACTATGGCTGCGTCCGAGTGGATTTTGCCCAGCCCTTTTCCTTAAAGGTGAGTCCTGCAGCGGGGAATGGGGCTGAAGTTCTGTGCTGGAGTCCAGAGACGTGCTGCAGTTCTGGATCCCACCACCTTTCCATGGCCTGGGCCCCTCACTCCTTTCCCTGGAATCCAGGACTCCGCCAAGAGTACGGCAATGGACCAAGGAGCATGGACTGACCACTCTTGGGAAGTGCTAGGCTCAACGTCTCTTGCTGTTTTCGTGTCTAAGTCGCAAGAATTTTGAACTTAGATCAAGGTGGCCCCTGCTGTGTCTGAAATTTGCTTCTAAGGGGGAGGGGGATCTATAAATATTTCCCTTCAAACAGTGGTTCTCAACCTTCCTAATGCCTCAGCTCTTTAATACAGTTCCTCATGTTGTGGTGACCACCCCCCACCCCCAACCATAAAATGATTTTCCTTGCTACTTCATCACTGTCATTTTGCTACTGTTATGAGTCAGGCAACCCCTGTGAAAGGGTTGTTAGGCGCCCAAAGGGGGCGTGACCCAGAGGTTGAGAACCGCTGCCTTAGAAGCTTTGGGTAACACTGACAATCTAGGAAGATGCCCGACCTGGTTTTGTGGCATCCAGTACGCACGTGGCCCCAGGACTGATGTTTCTTATCGAAAAGCTTGGGAGCGCCGGTCTCTGAGGTCCTTAAACCTTCAGGTTTTTGTCAACTCTCCCTGCCATCGAGGCAATGCTGACTCCGAGAGAATCCCTGTGGTGTCTGGGACTGTGACTGTTCACAGGAGTAGAAAGCCCAGTCTTTCTCCTGCGGAGCTGCTGCTGGTTTTGAATTGCTGACCATGCAGATTACAGCCCAATGCAAAACCACTACACCACCAGGGCTCCAGACTTCAGGTTTTTAAGATCTTCTCATTGGTTAAGAAGAGAAAGAGAGGGCTGGATAAGAGGGGTGGGAGTCCAGGAACAAGGAAGAGAGATCCTGCTTCTCCTTCAGCTTTCCTTCTTGGGTTTACAGCACATGATCCTGGCATTCTAGCTCTGCGTCCCAGGCAGGCTGACTTCAGGTGCTTTCAGCTTTTAGGAACCTCGGTTCTCACCATTTACAAAAATAAAATAAAAACAAGAACCATTGCACAGCTTCTCTGCTGTGAAGGTTTACTTTCCAATTGAGGGTACTTTGAACGTGATGCTACTCCTGGGCTGCTGGTTTCTTTATGAAACTGTAACTGGGTTGATGATCATTGCTACCAGTATTTGAAATGACAGATAAGTTGTTCCTAAAGATGTGGGACATGTTAAACTCTCCCCATGAATTTGAATCAAGCATCATCCTGTTACTTGCATTTACAATAAGTAGTACATAGACTGAATGCTTTTTAACAGTCTGCGAATCACTTTTTACTTCTCTAGTTAATCTTCAGGGTGCAGGAACATACTTCTGGTGCTTCAGAGTCTATCGCATTTTATAAACAGGTCTTTTTTTTTTTTACTTTTTGATGATGGAGTCATAATTTATATGTTGATATGAAAGTGTGAGTAAATGGTCACGTTCTAATTTTTCCCACCAGGAGTATTTAGAAAGCCAAAGTCAGAAACCTGTGACTGCTCCCCTTTCTTTGGAGCAAGCACTGCTGCCAGCTATATTCCCCTCAAGGTAAGGTTCCTGGACGTTTAAGTACCTAGCTCAACTAGCAGACAGGTGTGTGTGTGTGTGTGTGTGTGTGAGAGAGAGAGAGACAGAAAAACAGCTTCACTTTACAAAGAATGTACATTTTATGAGTTCCCTTCTTCACTTGATTAGATTTTTTTTTGTCTAAAAAGCTATCGAAATGTTTCATGTTAGCCTAGAGGATTTTGATTTTTTGTGAATATCATGTAATAATTATTTTCATGTAATCATAAACCAATGTTTTATATAATACACATATATTTATATATTAGATCATAATTATATAATAAATGATTGTTATATAATCATTTCTTGTTTTCTGCAGCTGAATGTTTTGAACTGCTTTGGGCAGGAGTTCAGTTATGTATGTTTTGTATAAAGGCAGCACATAAAAACAGTCTTTTTATTTGAATTTTTCAGAATTCAAATAGAACTATTAAGAGAAGTGCAATAATAGGCTCTTCTTTTGATACGTATAGAAACATTGATTTTTTAGAAGTATTTTAAAGTGCATCTCGCTTGATACATTCTTTCTGTGTAAATCAGAGCACAGTGGCTTTAAAATGTTCGCAAACACGACTCATTCATACTAGCTAACATGTGTTTTAGAACAGTATTCAGAGAAAGACAGCAGGCTTGGTGAAGCTGACAGCAGCCAAAAACGAGGAAGGCTCTGGGCAGCATCGATTGCCACCATGGCGGCAACGATGGGCCAAGCAGAAGAGTCGCTGAGGGTGGTGCAGGACCACGGGCGGTTTCCTTCTCTTGCTCGTAGGCCTGCTGGGAGTCGGAGCTGACTCAGGACACCTAGAAACAACAACACCAGGAAAGCCTGTGGAAGGCACACAGACATAACCTTTCTGTGGGCTACATGTAGAGCGTGTGCATTGCATATGTATAGTTTGATGTGTACAAGGAGGGCTTGTTGACGTCCGAGTCTTGTTGCTGTTTTTCAGACCCAGTGATGCTGCTGATGAAGGTACAGACACTTCCATCGATGAGTCCAGAAATGCAACCGACGCATCGTTCCGAAGAAGGCTGATAGCAAACCTGGCGGAGCACATACTGTTCAGTAAGTTGGATCACCAACTCTGTGCCCGCAGTGCCGAGTCAGACTGGTGTTCAGGGAAGGCAGGCTGTACAGGCTTCGGAATACAGGCAGATGGGTTTGATCGCTTTCTGGGCTTATCACCTGATATTGGGTGGTGATTAGAAAAACAGACGCCATTTGTAGAGACTTCAAATAAGGGGTCAGCCCCAACTCATTGCCATCTGGTGTGAGGGAAATACAGTGTCCGTCACCCAGTAGGTCTTTGTGTAGTGCTTACATTTTTAAAGTTCGGTTTCCTTTTTTTCCTCACAAGGGTATTGTCAACATGATTCCTGGGCCCTTTTTTTGCTCAGAGCCTGTTTCTTTGAACTCGCTTGTGTGACAGGGTCCAGGTCTGTGCTTCTGTGCTTCGTTCCCCACGCATCCCAGGCTTACTTTAACGTCACAAATGTAGGTCTGAAACTTCTGTCTCATCTGTGGGGAAATCCAGATTGCATAATGAATGACTCCTTACTCCAAAAGTTCTGCTCCTGTCGGGGCCCGTTAGGCCCTGGGAACTCAGGTGGCAGTGCCCTACAATGAGTGAGTAGAGTAGAGTACTGGTGTTCAACTCCCGGGGCAGTGCTGTGAGAGAGGGTAAATCCCACAGCAGCAGAGCTGGCCCAAGCTGAGCCCAGGCAGGCAGGGCCTCCTGTCCCTCCCCATTTCCTATCCCTGTCTGCTTCAGACTCTCAGCACCTTCTACCACTCCTCCCCTGTAGCGTCTGTCTCTGTATCTCACGCCTCCTCTTAAAACCTAGATTCTCAAAAGAACCTGTTCTCAGCACTGAAGAATTGGAAAAGGAAACAAAAATGGAGATACCCCCCCCACACACACCCGAATACCGAGGGTTGTTGCAGTCTCGTTTCTAAAAGCATTAGAAGTGCTTTCGCAAAAAAGATGTCTAACGGAAGCCTTGTTTCTCTCTTGCAGCTGCTAGCAAGTCCTGCGCCATCATGTCAACACACATCGTGGCCTGCCTGCTCCTCTACAGACACAGGCAGGTATGTCTGCAGGGCCCCTGGAGGTAAGTGGAGAGCGCGAGGGTGTTCCGTCAGCCAAGGAAATAGTCAGGGAGAGGCCGGGGCCCCTCCTGGCCAGAACTCTCAGGTGTAAACAGTAGCACAAGGGAAGGACCCTGCCCTCAGGAGTCTGAAACTCCACATTTGAAAAAGACTTCTCTCCTAAAAAAATGAGAGACTGCTTACTAGCCCGTGGGACAGTGAGAGAATCGTTGGGGAGGGCAGCTATCATGAACGAGGCCACTCATTGGCACGTGTTAAGTGCCCTGCGAGCTAATAGCTGCGCAGCTATTTGCTGTGTGTTGTAGGGTCTACTCTCTGCCCTCCCCCCACACGCTTCCCGAGAAAGACTGGCTCATGTTCACAGTCACAGTCTCAAGCCCAAGCACAGTGTCAACAGGAGGGGGCCTCTAACAGTTTGTGGAAAATTCCATTTTCTTTTCATTCCATATTTCCATGAACCTGGGAAACCCCCTCAGAAACAGACCCCACGTAAGAATTTGTCAAGCCAGCATTCAAAATGAGGGTAATTCTGTCCCCAAACTCAGCCCCCCCCACTTGCCTTTGGTGCCCACTGCATGTACGGTGGCTAACATGCCCTTGGTATGGGAACACCTCCTGGGACATCGCTGGTGACTTGCCTGCATTTGGGTCCCGGTCCTGGTTTTGAAGGTGCCAAGCACGAGCTGCAGGCAGTATTCGCAGAACACTGGCCTTTTGGGAAAGGGTGTCTTCCGCTGTCCGGAGCCCACTCCTGCCTTTTGCTCTAGGGAATCGATCTGTCCACGCTGGTGGAAGACTTCTTCGTGATGAAGGAGGAGGTCTTGGCACGGGATTTTGACTTGGGCTTCTCGGGCAACTCGGAAGATGTGGTCATGCATGCCATCCAGCTGCTGGGGAACTGCGTCACCATCACCCACACCAGCCGCAGCGACGAGTTCTTCATCGCCCCGAGCACCACCGTGCCGTCTGTCTTCGAGCTCAACTTCTACAGCAATGGCGTGCTCCACGTCTTCATCATGGAGGCCATCATGGGTAGGTGGGGCCCCGGAAGCGCT